TAGTTCTTCAACCAATATCTTGAACAAGGGCACACAGGTTAAAGCTATATCAATAGTTATTATAGTCATAAAAACATCCCATCCATATTTCTAAACACTTTAACCAATTATAATCTATCCAAAAGCACTACCTAGACTGCCACTTCCATCTATAATTCCGGCAACAGTACCTTACGATCTCTCATTATTCTGAAGTGCCTGCTACTTACCAATATCAGCAGCACAGGATGCAGAAATAATATTATTGAGACCACTTATAATAAACCCAAAGAAGAACATCAAACTAGCAAACTAAATCTGGCTTAAAATCTTGATATTTGTCTATATAGTTAGACTAATAAAGGCAGCTGCCAAAACAGCTACAAAAGCAATAGGTGACCTTTTAGAATATAGTTTATCTGAAATGTAACCGAGTATAAAACTACCAAATATGGCCCCTGTATCAAAGAAAGATGAGAGATTAGCAATTTAATGAACTGTATAGCCCAAATATTCCTTTAATAGTAGGGGTAGCCAAAGCAGCATAGAGTTTACAGCCAATTTAATGCAAAATAAAGTTGAAGCATAGATGAACACTCTTGGTATTAGCCATGCTTTCCAAAATGTTACTCTAGTATGTATTTATGAAGTGTCTAGCTAGGTTGACAGTTAGCTATCAGGCTCATCTTCATTTTCAAATTTGTTCAATTCATCACTATTCTGCTTAACATGACTACTTCTTAAGTGTTCCAATTGATTTTTGATAGTGTCTTATTTTTCTGCATCTGTTAATTCTTCTAAATGTAGACCTGCATCTTCTGGAAAGGAGTTTACAAGACTCATAGTCATCATCGAGCAAAAGAGGATTAACATGGCTGCGGTAAAAAGTAGATAGCCCCATTGATTATTATAAATTTTGATTAAAGAAGCTGCTAATTATATACCAATGATGTTCCCTATATTAGCACAAGTTGCCCAGAGTCCCAGTACTAGTCCTCTATGCTACTTGGAGAACCAATTACCAAGCAAATGTATTATTGAAGGAAACAACGGTGATGAAAATATTCCAATAAGGATAAACACGCAATAGTAATATAGTTCAAACTTGATATTCATGTAGCCCCCTATTCCAAGTAGTGAGTAGCAGAGACTTAGCATTGCCAATGAAAAACTCAACAGTTTTCTGAGATCATAAATATCTCCAACTACACCGCCGATGAATGTGGAGACTGAGTATACAAATAAATAGGTTGTATCAAAATTAGCAAGAGTTGATTCTTATAGCTCTGGATCTTAACTTAACAGTGACTTCTTACTCATAGACCAGAACTCTCTGTAGATGTGAATGCATGAATAGTTAATGTAAACCACTATGAAAATTTGTAATTGCTATCTAAAGAGTTTTTTATCTTGCTCTTGTTTTTTCCTTAAAGACTCATCATTGTTATTAGAATGTTGATCATCTGGTGCCTAGTCTGAGTTAACATGTTGAAGATTCATTCTTTGCAATTCTATCACTATTCCTCCATCACTATCATTTTATTTTAGGCCTTTCATTAATCCAATTCTTAATTATTAATTTTCCCTTTTTAAAAATGTTTACATTACTATATGGGGTTTTGGGGTTTTGGGGTTTTGGGG